CCAATAAATAAAATAAAACAAACAAATAAATAAATAATCTGTGGCTGCCCAGTAGCTATGGCACTTACTTTTTAAAGGCCACGATTTGCAAGCCTGACGTCTAAGAGGGAGAAGCCATCATCCTGAATCTGCATGTTTTCAGGAGATGCAATCCCACAGACTCTACCTTTCTCCCTGACCCTAATCCCAAGGTTTTGTACTTCCCACTGGTAACAGCAAGACTTCTTACCATTTATTTACAAACTCCTGGAATTCTTGGGTGAAAACCCCATTCGGCAGTTTTGGAGGTGGCTGAAATACACAGGAAAAAGCAGAGGTGAGGTGTCTTGGGATTTGGGAAAAGCCATGTGAGTTCAGGAAACAGCCTTGGGAGAGGCAATGGGGGACAAAAAGAAATCACAGAGCCTCTGAAGAATTACAGGGAGTCATGTATTGTTCTTGGGACCTGACAACACTGAAAGTTTTACTGGGTCCAAATAGCTTATGCCATTTAACAATTGATATTGTGCATAAATGACTGGCATTGCTTAATTTATAATGCATACAAATTATTAGGCTGCAATTAAGGACACGAAGTAAATGAAGTGTTTGGAAATGAATCAATACGCTGTTTATGGCAATGATGGGCTACCATGGATTCATACGTTTGGAGTGATTTGAACACATTTATGTACAAATACGCCATTGAAATAAAAGGATCCTTAGCTGTTTCTAACATCATCAGGCCCTGGAAGGGAGTAAAAATTAAGTGATGGAAGCTTCTAGGCTCCACTGGTTGAGAAGAAAAGCCAGGAAAGGTAGGGATGGAGAACAATTCAGCATCATTTTAGGGGCCTAGGCGCTGAAGTCCACCTGCCCTCCCTAATCTGACACCACCACTCATTAGTTCATCATTCAACTTCCCAAAGAGCTCTGACCTATTAATGACAGCAGTAGCACAGGCACCTTCCTCGAAGTGGCGTCTCCACAGAGCTCTCTGCAGAATGGGACTGGGGGTGGGCCATTCTTGCTCTCTGCACTGAACTGAAATAATCCAGAGGGAGCCACAGCGTTTCTGGGGACTCATAATGTTGCTTTCTCACTTCCTATGTATTTCTTATTTCCACCTGCATGTTCTTCATTCTCTCTTTGGTCCTTTTTCCTCCCACAAACCCCAAATAGACTCCTTAATCTCTGTGACATTACCCTTCCCCTCTTGTTGCTGTATGTGAGAGGTAATGTCAACAGGAGAGGTTTTGGGCTCCTGGCTTTCCTCCTTTCATTTTAAGAATGTGTCTTCCCCCGGCAGCTTAACAGGCCCAGCACATCTCCATTCACCCTCTGTTTCTTTCCCCTTATTTTTACCAAGACTGAGAAACTAAAGGACATGGGCTTGTGTGGTTTTGATTTTACTGGCAACACCTTATTTTTATATGCAGTTAGACATGAACGACTCTCTGGAGGAGGATAGATTAGATGCTTCCCTCCTAACTTGTGTATTCAATGAAATGGGTGTGGTACAACATACAAAGTTTAAACTGGTTGGGGGCTTTATTTATTAAATACAAGTTGACAGAAAAGAAAGGCAAGGCTCACAGCAAAGACCAGGCTGACCAGCAGAGGCACCTGGCCAAGAAACACGAAGAGCCAGATATTCCACTAGATTCTTGATCTACCCACAATACTGTTTTAATCCCATACCCCCATTTACATGATTTAAAGGCATGAAGCAAAAGACCAACCCACAGAAGAGAATCAAAATGTCTTCTCCCAGCCACTAACCTCATTCACAATGTAGTCAAGCAATTCAAAAATGGCCATGGCAGGTCGACTGTCCATCCCATGACCTGCAGGATTCAAAGGAGCAAAGGACGGATGAAAAACTGTATGCATACGACACATCAAGAAGAATGTCCCCCTCCCCCCAGGATTTCCATCTTCAAGAAGCAACAACAAAATTTAGGAAAACTTAAGGAGAGTAGAATCCAGCACAAACTGAGGCATTGCTGGTTGGTCATGTAATCTAAAATATGTCCCAAGGAAGCGGCAGCACGTGTTTGAGATGGCCAGTTCCAGCTTCCACTGTGTAAGTTATGGGTTAATGAGACAGAGAGGGAGAGAAAGAGACACGAGTCATGACATAGGGCAGAAGGCTGGACTGAAACAGCAGTACCATTTGTGATTCACCTTGTCAGCCTTAAATAATGACCTTGCCTAGTGACTGAATTTCTCCCTCCCTACTGTAGAGTCCAAAAAGCCAGGACAATAAGAGCAGAGTTCAGTTTATTGAGGCCCACAATATGTGGCTGGTGGATTCTCTTGATAGAAGAAAAGCTGCATAGGCCTGAACATCTTTATCTATGGGAAAACGCATGAGTGACAGTCGCTAATTACCACCAAGAAGACTCTAATTTCCATTCTGGATACTGGATATTTGTATCCATTGATTCCTTGAGTTTTTGCAACTTTTGGGCTTGAAGACTGTGCCTTTTTATTCCCCAAAGCTTCACAATATTGACAGGTAAAATCTTGCTGAAACATAACCGACTTATTTGCATCAGTATATGCCATATTCGAGCCTCCCCAACTGGATGCCCTCCAGTCATCTTGGACTATAGCTCTCCTAAGTGCCAGCCAGGACACCTATGCCAGCTAGGCATATCTAGGTATAGTCTAACGTATCTGGAGGGCATCACGTCAGGAAGGATGACTGTACAGTCTTGAAAAGAAACTCACGGCAAATTTCCTAGCCAGCTTGTCTCATTTCAAAGCATATTTAAAGCAATCTCTCTAGTGGTGAGCCAAGGGAAGTACAAAACTTGTAAGATTCAGCAAGTCTGTAACTTGTTATTCTTCAGGAACGAATACATCAAAACTAATTGAAAGGCTATTAGTATTTACCGAAATTTAACACCTGACTTTTCAATCTGATGCCCCTGAGTTGTTTGGGCTACAGTTCCAGCCAGAATGGCTGGTGGATGAAGTCCAATATAACTGGAGGGAACCAGACCTAACCAAATTATACAAAACTGCCAACCTGTCAGTTCTGCTCACCTTATTTAGGCATTCTTGATCCTTCAAAGAGGACTTCTTTTAAATTATTTGTTGTTATTCCATGATTTCTGGTTACTGTCTCTGAATAGATCCCCTGACTGTTTTTTTTTTTTTTAAGTCAGATAATCAGGGAAGGCTCAAAACTTTTTCGCAAGATGACAGTGTGAGGAAAATACACCTTTGGGTGAAAGAAGTAAGTTTTTAGAGGCCTCAGATGAATGGGATCGCCTTAATAAAATGGAAATATAGAGGAATCTGCAGGCTGGTTGTAAAAAATTTATTCAACTGGTCTGAACTGGGGTGATTGCAAGAAGCCTCATCTCAAAGCCTTATCACAAACATCCAATATACAAGGCAGCTATCTTGCAGTTCTTCCTCGTATTTGGCACCTTGACTAACTTGTTACTTCCTCTTAGTAAGGCTACTGCTTTCCTTGAAGACAGCAGATAAGAAGAGGGGCAAATACACAAGGCATAGGAGGATGAGATAAGAAGGGGGGCAGAAAGTAACTTGAGATCTATTGCTTACTGATGTATGCCTGCATCATCACATGAATATGTATGTGTATGCATTATTTTCTCTTCCCCTTTCTTGTAGAAGTATATAAATATCAAGGTATCCATTTTGCCTGCAAGGGAGTGTCTCCCACTAACCCTTGGTGAGTCCCCTCCAGTGCCCACGGTCTAATAAACCCTGCAGTGAAGCCTTGATTATTTTGCATGAGAGTCCTGCGTTTTTGATCCATAGTGATGAATAGAACATGGCGACCTCTAATTATTCCATTAATGCCCTGCCCTTCCTCCAAAGAGCTCGGAGTAGTGCACAAGTAGTGCTTCCCAAACCTTTTCCCCTTAACCGGAACTCATGGAATTAAGCTAGACCAGTGTTTCTCAACCTTGACAACTTTAAGATGTGTGGACTTCATCTCCCAGAACTCCAATTCTGGGAGTTGAAGTCCACACATCTTAGAGTTGCCAAGGTTGAGAAACACTGAACTAAACTAAGAAATCATGACTGGCCTGAGTTACCCAGCAAGTGTTTCATGGCCAAATGAGGATATAACCCAGGGTCTTCCCTGCCCAAATCCAACACTCCGGCCACTGCCTAGATAGGCTTGAGGTTTACTTAGAAAATTCCCAGAAGATTCTGGGAGGCCACAAATGAGAGACAGAATGATTACTCAAGGGACTTCAGCTGCCTTGGCCAGGAAATCTTTTGTTTTTATTACCACGAGCATCTTGATCTCAAATATCAGGTTGGCTGACACAAAGTAGAAGGCTATTACATGACCACACATATCCAGAGCTGCTTAGCTCCAGCGGGGCCCATCAGAAATCTCTCCTCTACCACCCCCCCCCCAAATATGTTTTATTTTTATGTACAGAAAGGGCTGTGGACGGTGGTTGTCAGACGTCCCAGTGATAACCACCATGCTGCCGGAATGATTCACAGTGATGTATATGCTCCTGGAACAGCTGGCAGATCATGGCCTACATGGCAGGAAGCAGCTTTGACTTCTAAAAAATTGAATTAAATCCCATTCATTAGAGGAATTAACCACAGTCTAGCTACCAGAGATTATGCTTCCTTCAAAAATTAAAACAAAACAAAGCAAAACAGTGATATAATTTCAATTTTCAGCAACTTCCCTGACTCCCCCAAGAGTCAGCTCCTACCGCTCACAGGACGTCCTGGGGGCCTGGGCCGCGGAGAGATGCTGTGGGGTTCCCCTTCAGCCCCATCGACCATGGGACGACCAAATATCACTTCCAGTTCCTTGCCATCTGGCGGGGGAATGGGATACCTTCCAATTGATAGCTCCACCAGGGAGAGGCCCATACTCCAGATGTCCGACTGAACTGAATAATGAGTGCCTTGTAAACGTTCAGGCTGCAAGCAGTCAAAACAGACGTGGGTTAGTTCTCTCTTGCAAAACACATATGTCAATCCCAGTGGCTCCTTCAACATACAGGTGTCTGCTGGTACATACCTATGTTAGAAATTTATGGCAAGCCAGCAGGAACAGAAGGGCTGAATTTTAAAGATGTTTCCCTATCAGGAGTTAATTACCAGAGCTGAAGAAGAACAGCTCTTCAGAAGCCAGGCCAAGAGTTATAATAAACTGTCTAGAGAACTTACTGATTACTGGATAATATGCAAATAAATACAAAGCAGAAAAATTAGATGTGCTTAATAGAGAGCATAAGATGCCTTCCTTCCCCTGCAGCTGAGAAAAGCTGCTTTTGTGCTGCCTTTGCTGTCACAACATACTGGGAACTAAAACCGTGCTGAAGTTTGGGGCTGAAAATGATGCATTATTTAACTCATAGGATGCCCAACTCCTTAAACAACTTGAATCTACTTCCTAAGTTATCAATGAACAACGGTTTTAAATCATCTACCATCACCCATGTTACCAGACTGGGTGAGGGTGGCAAATACTCCAGTCCACATGTTGATTACTCTCCAGAAAGACATATTTAGGGTAATGTGAAATAGAACATGTTTTAACTATACTCTTTTTGGTAATGCATCCAGATTAATCTATCTTCTGAATATCACTATCTTGGTACCACATCTGCTTTAAGACCTGCAGAGCTAGTAATCTAGTTATTATACAACTTCCCTTGGCAAACATACTGGTCCAGTTAGCATAAAAAACAAAGTCAGGATTCTAACTTATTGTGATCAAGCAAGGATGCTTGTAAAGACTGCACCTTCGCTCCCCACTTTGCTCCTGCTATCCGCAGAAATGGCTAAGCCATCCAAGGAGCTCCATCCATTTTGTGTGTTTGTACCCTGGCTTTGTTCCTTTTACACACTAGAATCAGAAGTCAGGTTTTGCATTCCAGCCTTACTGAGAAATCAAACTAGGGCGCAGGAGAAGCTTCCTGGTTTGTTTAGCTCCTCCTACTGGCAGGAGGAGCCCAATGGAAGCAACAGAATGGTGCACCAGCCAAGCAGGCACACACACAAAGTCAGAATTGTAAAGAATTCTGGCTATGGCATTGCTGTATTCAATACAAATGTTGGAACTTCTTCATCTACACCAGATAGGGTTAAGTAAGGACTTTGGGGAGGACCAATTACTGCTGACAAAGTGAAGGCACTCATAGCCCAGAGGAAAGAGAAGTACTTGAGATCAGGAAGAAACAAATACAGCTTAAAGGAAGACACTGTTTAGCTGCAGTACGGCATAAACCATCACGAGAGATGCTGAAAACAGGCAATATTCATTACATCATCCCCACACCAGTGGCCCTACAGTAGCTATCCTCTACCTACTGGGCAAGCTTTACTTGTCCCAACTCCTTCTTTAAACACAGTACGTAAGAAAGCAAGAGGACATACAGACATATAGGATCGGGTGCCCACAAAGGAATTCGCCATGGAGTCGATGAGCTGCCCGCTGACTCCAAAATCGCACAGCTTAATCTCTCCCCGTGAATTCACCAAGATGTTAGAAGGCTTCACATCTGCAAACAAATTTTTAGAGACAAAGACGGGAGAAAGAAAACGCTGAGAATGCACTGTAAGAAGCAATTCCAATTGTAGACCATTCTGGTGAAAGCTCTACGCGCTCATCCACATAATGAGCCCTGGAAAGAACCCTGCTTGATTAGGCCAAAGGCTCATTTAGAATCTTGGATTAGGAGGTATAAAAATTACTGCAGTAGATAAACCAGTAAGTAATGGTCCGAACTGATGCTTCTGAGAAGCTCCCAAGGAAGGCGCAAGTTCAACAGCAGCACATTCATGTAGGCTCCTGCAATTCAGGTTCCCCATAAAGGAAATAAGATGCAACCCCTGATTTGTCTAACCATCTTTTCATGCAGCCTATGCTGGGAGCTATTACTGAACTATTACTGCACAAAGTGGTACTACTTCTTATCGATTTCAAGCATAGCATTCGCCCTCCAGAGAGGCTCGGTTTTCAGAGTTTTGTAAGTTACAGCCTATTCTTAATGGCTGTACTGCGGGCATAATGAACCTGTGACTTTGGGCTGGCTTCATGTAGGTCTAGATGCTGTCCATCTCTTGGTATTCTTCAGAGAACATCTTGCAATCACTCCCACTCTGTGCACGCAGAGGGATACAGCAGCACAGAGACAGGAAGAGCTAGGCAAGTCAGTAAGCTCCACCCACGGTGACATGGTCCCTAATAAACTTTTCTGTGACTCAGGAAACTCACAGTGGAAACAAAACCCCCACAAAATAGTTCCATTGCTGGAGAGCAAAATTTGAAAATTTGCCTGTGATGAATTTCAGAACCATGAAGGGCCTTTCTTAATAAGCAGCCAGCCTTTTTCTAAGTTCCAACTCTAGCACGAAGGTGACAGAAGAGGCTGCCCGTGAGAGCGGCTGCCAATAAGAGGCGGCTATGGTCTGTGTAAGTGTAGGGCAATATAGAATATAACACAATTTCCAGTTTTTTGCCACCCACTCCAATCCACAGACTGGATGGTGTACTACACAGTCACAACCAGAAAAAAAAAGAAGTGATATGATATGATAATATAAGGCATTTGATAACTGCCTCCACCCCTATGTAATGCTCCTGGTTAAACAATGTGTAAAATCAGGCCTTGGAACTAGAATGATGTCCAGCAAATCTACACAAACCTACTTCACTTACATATACAGACACCTCCCTCTATTACAACCAACTCTCACCTCTGTGCATGATTTGGTGCTTCTCTCGTAAATAAGCCAATCCTCGCAGAACCTAAAATGGAGGGATGGGAGGGAGGAAGAGAAGACAAATGATCAGGATTTAAGGAATGGAAGCAAGCACGATCCCCCATTTTACAGACGGGAAACTAAAAAAGAGACACATACACATGTGTGACAGAACAGAGGACTGCCTTCTCCAATTGAAGGGGTAACCCAAGCACCTCGTAAGAGGATACAGATGAGGAATGGTCCCTCACAGACCCTCGTTTGGGGGAGTTAAAGGGAGGCAGTTGCATACTCACTGCTATACTGACTTTGCCCAAGATTTCTTCAGGAATCCTCTTAGCTTCTTTCAAAACCTGATCCAAAGAACCTCCATCCTAAAATCAGTGGAAAGGTGCTTAGGTTCACAATTATTTAGTCCAGAAAGCCCATTAGCCAACATTATCTTAAAGTTTAGAATTAGAAAACATCCCACTCAATCAAATAAATAATGGGAAAGAAACCATATTTAAGTAAGAAAGGGCACCGAGAATACCTTACAGTCTCTTGAAAGATATGAGGTACATAAAGTTTCAACAGCTTGCCTGAAACTAAACAAAGAAGGGTCAGGCTAACCTCAAGGAGTGTGCTCTGCAAATGGGGTGTGTTGCTAGTGAAGACACAACCCCATGTTGCCACAACCAAGGCTCTTCATAATGAAATCTACAGAAAAATTCACTGAGAGAAAAAAGATGATTCTCAACTGCTCTGGTTCACACAGTCAGGAAACAAAATGTTAACCAATCTTCTTTGACAACCTTTGACAACCATCTGCTTTAATCAGCTATAATTCAGGGAGGTTAATGAAGCAGATTCTCATTTTCCTCAAGATTCTTAGTATAATTTTGTAACTCGAGGTACCTTCCTCTTTGACCCAGGCACAGAACGTGCTACAACATCTGTGTTACTTGAAACAAAATATAGCCTGGCTAAGGCACCCCGTAAGCCTAAACAGCACATCTACTGAATTTGTACCACGGAAAGTTAAAATCTTTGCCAAACAAATGGAAAATATTCAGATTCCATGAAAGGAAAGGCCAGAAGCTGCAAGGCTGTAACAACAGTGCTTCTCTACATATGCCACTGTTGTGCTGGAATGGGACCAGGGAGGCTCATGTTCATGTCCTCACATGACCATAGGCCTCAGTATCTGTCACCCCCAATCAATCTCACAGGATGGTTGCTAGGAGGACAAAGTGGATGAGGGAGTATTATGTACGTGACCTTGAGCTACTGGGATGTAAGTAGGGATGCAAGATGAAAATGAGAGCCACCATCTGAATTCAGCACGAGGAGAACGCTCAGGACTACACTACTGGATGATTTGGAAGAAGACAAGGTGAATGAAGGTGAACACTTATATGGTTTCAGGGACAAATTGGCTTAATCAGAGAAAACTCCTCCTTCACCACTACATATTTATCCCATGTTTATTATTTATATAGTGACTTTAATATGGCACCTTAGATGGTAGAAAAGAAGAGGTCCCTGACCTGAGGAACTTAAAATACAACAAAAAGAGAAATGACAGTGGAAGGAGGAGGAAGTGGAAGGACAGTTAAAACAGGGAAATTCAATTCATATATCTATGCCAGCATTTCTCAACCCTGACAACTTGAAGATGTGTGGCCTTCAACTCCCAGAATTCCCCAGCCAGCATGAATTCTGGGAGTTGAAGTCCACACATCTTCAAGTTGTCAAGGTTGAGAAACCCTGATCTATGTTTAGACTTGTGATATGTGCAGGAACATGGCATTAGGCATACCTTTATACAACATTATCTAAGGCAGCTTCTTATCCCCTATGTTCACCATAAAGGCCAGTTCTTCCCAGTCCTTTGTCATGAAAAATGCTTTACAATCATTACTTTTTCCAAGTCACCCTGCAGGATGATTGCTAACTGTTTCGCTGTGCAAATAGGGAAGCAATTGAAGAGGTTAAATCCTTCTCCAGAGCAAGCATTCAGCCTGTTAGGATCTGAGCACCTGCTTCCAGGAGAAGAACTAAAGCCTACACCTCCCAAACAGTAATTGTCTCTTGAGACTCAGGAAGAATGATTTCTGGGCACCTTCAAGAAGCCTGCATTACAGATGGGTACTCATTATCATAATGTATTTAGATGGCTTTACTTTTGAAATGTAAACTCCCCAGGACTCTGCCAGTTTTATAATTAAGTCAACAGATGGCAGCATCTACTTTGCATTACAGACAAAGAAAGCAAGCAAGGATGGTGGAGAGAGGACATTTTCTCTGGTGACAGAGTCCATGCTAGAGAGATACTGGTCATGCCATGAAGTCAATTCAGATCAACCTGCTTGTTCTCTATCCTACGAAACAGACATTTACCACATTTATCACAGCTCTGATCCAGACGGACTCACAGAGAGTACTACTTCATGTGTCTATGAGAAACAAGGCTCTTCCTGTTATAGTATTCAGGTTGCCTGGCACCCAGGTTATTGTTCAGTGACAGAAAGCTGCTTTCTTCCAACTTGACAGAATGAGAAATGTATCTGACTCAGTGATGGCTATGAAGAGGCAATACCACTGCTGTTTTAAGCACATCTGACTGTTTTTGTAAGTTATTCTTTTTTTTTTTTTAATCTCACATATGGGTGAGTTTCCTTTTCAGTTACTTTGACTATGAAGCAAAATATACATTTTTAAGGGAATAAATACCATCTTGGCTGGAATCTCAATGCTTTTCCATTGACTACTAACATTTCCTAAAGAAGGAAATACTTAAGCAGCCATCAGCATTCTCAAATAAGCTGAACCACTTTGGCTATCTCAATAACATACAACGAGTTGATCTCTTATCAGTATCAAGCAAGTATATGTTAGGAAGGCTAAACAAACTACAGTAGCTCAACCTACAGTCTGCTTGCTTTTATGTTACATCTGAATTGGAATTCTGACTTGTTCTCCTGATAAGCCAGTATCTGAAACTATTTGATAACAAAGATCAGGAATATTAGCCAATCCCAATAAATCAGAATTTTCCTCATACCATGTAAGAAGGTGAGTTGTTATTAGTAAAAAAAGACCTGCAGTTTAAGCTGATGCAATAGGAAACGAAGGCAGAAATGCAGAGAAGAAACATTTAGAATTAGCTTTTAGAATAATCAAAGCTTGGTAAGCTTCACTAAAACCTTTGATGCTGAGTAAGGCACCCCTCCCATTCTGCAACAGGGAATATGCTCTCACCATATGCTCCATGCAAATGCTGATCTCCCCATCACTGTAGAAGGCGCCATAAAAACCAACAATGTATGGAGAGTTGCACTCGTGAAGCACTTGGAGCTCCCGGATGATCTGGTTTCGTATGGCGGGTTTGATCTCCAAGTGAATCAGCTGTGGAGGGAACAGGAGAGAGACATCAAAGGATGAAGACTCTGCAAAACTGTTCCAACAAGAAGTGTACTGCAACAGCTTTTTCCAGCGAATGCCTCTCAGATATATATGGACTACATTATCACTTTAATCACACAGAAGCCTAACTCAAAGGTGGGATTCAGCCCTATGAACAATTAGTTAACAGCAAATAGCCCAGTCAGAAACTCTAGTATCCTTGGGGAAACCTTTCCAAACTAGCATTCCAACTTGAAAGTATTATTTTGCTAAAACCTATGGTTGCAACTAAATGTAGGTATGTATAACTTAAAAGTATTTAATGTTTTTATAGCATTACAGTCTTGAACACACAACTATCTTACCTGTGCCAAATTGTTTTTGTTTTTTATAAATTCTTCCAAGCCATAGAGACTTGGAGAGTACATTAGCCAATAAACAGCAGACAGAGGTTCCAGCCCCATTACTAATAGATGAAAGGTAGTTAAGGGGGAATGGATGGACTTGAATCAGTCAAGCACATACATCTTCCTGGAGCCAAAGTTTACTGTTTTAAAATTCCTTGCTAACAGAAATTAAAGTTCATGAGTTGTAATGTAATGCTGTTAATGTAATGGCATGTTCTGCTTTCTTTTAAAAGGCCAAACGCTAAAGCATATACTCTGCATCACAGATAGCTTTGCTAATCAATCAAGGTTTCACGTTGTGCCGAGTCCTAAAATTTGGTTCATGGGGCACAGCTCATTATGGAACAGCCTCATGCAAATAAACTAGTATTAAGCAGAATCAATTTAACTGATAAAATACGATGTTGTTAGTCATTAGTCACTACATACATTTCTTAAATTAGTCAATAGCCTTTGACTATTAATACATTTCGAAACAGAATGACTACTGGGCGAAGTATAGACAGACCTCTAGATTTGGCACTCTCTATTTGCACTGCAGGAAAAAGCTGTTTCACAGCTGCTGATTTTGCCATAGATTCGCTTTATTTGAATTTGTACTGGGATTCCGTAACACTGATATTAATTCAGTGGTTCTTTCTGCACTGTTTCCAGCTTGCTTAAACGATTAAAAATATATATATTCCATTTTGTTAACATTACAGAATTTAAAACTGCAGGCAACAAGCCCTCAGTGTTCGGCTATTTCCAGCAAGTCATTTGTGCAACTGAGAAACACACTTTCAATATAACCAGAATTTAATGTTCTAGTGACCATCTGGGGAATTTCTATTAATTAATCTTTCTTTTAGTTTTTATAGCGTATTTTTAATCTGTTGTACTTGAGCCATTGTCTACGCATTGGGGCAGGTCACAAAACAATGAAATAAATTAAATACGCCCTTCTTAAAGTCCTAGAAACAAGAATATCGGTATATATGAGGAATGCAAGTTTAGAAATATAGTTTTGCAATACAGTGTCCATTCACATGAAAGATGAAGTTGTATTGTGTTATGATTGCATGTTCAACCCTGATATGTGTTCTCCCCTTTAAAAGCTATTGGCAGGCACTCCTGTGCAATAACTGAGCACTATGGGATGGCAATTATGGCTCTATATTTGCTAATGATTCTGCATCCAGGAAAGCATGCAGTATAACCTACTTAGCAGTGCAAAAAAGAAAAGATGCAGCAGAAGAAAAGTGGGAGGTAAGCAGTCACCATAGGAACGTCTGCAAGGCTCAGGAATGGAGCACAGAAACAAATTTACTGAAGACTGTTCACAGAAGAGTTCAACACCTTAGGCGGCTCAAATGTTCTTTCCATATCCAATGTTCAATTTTCCAAAGGAAAGCGAACCTAACAGTTCAATTCCGACCTTCTCTCACATCCTTCACAGGGAAAAGGTACAAGATACCCATCCTGCCAAATCATCAGACTTTCTCTCACCTGTCACAGAAGAGGACAGATAGAAAGAAGAAAAGGGGAAGCAACAAAACTCAAAAAAGATGGTGCCAAGACCCTATTAGGGCTTCATCCTGTCTTTTTCTCTTTGATCTCAATGTTGTCATCAGGTAAGTAGAACAGGGCACATAAGCCAAGCTAGAAAATGTCCAAAGTCACAAATGAATTTCAGATTCTCTTACTGTAGTGCTACAGAGATGGGAGAAGTCCATCTAAATGCTTTCTTTCATCTGAGAGAAGAACACCTGTTAATTTTTTTTTGACAATTACGACTGAAAGTAATTAGTTAGAAGCCAAAAGAACCTCACATTTGCTGTTTAAATAGACATCAATATAGTGTCATGAATGCAATCTTGCACCAAAAAAAGGTTATTTAAGTAAGTAAATTTACATGGCTGCCCATCTCCTAACAGTGACTCTAGGCAACATACAAAGATTAAAACCAGCAATTAAAAATAATAACTCATGATGCCTAAGGTGAATAATACATTCCAATCATAAGACCACATCACCAGCAGGGCTCGCCTAACCTCCTGGCCCAAGCTCCTGGGGAAACAGGCAGGTCTTCAGAGCTTTATGAAAGGCTAAAGGGCCAGATCCAGATGACAACTAGTAAGTCATAGCAGATGATAACTTCTAGCCAATCTTGACTGATCTTGAAAAGCTAAACAGTGTTGGATCTGGTGAGTACTTGGATGGGAAACTGCCAAAAAATTTCAGGGTCACAAGCTAGAATAGAAGAGGAGAAAACACTCTAAAGTTGCCAAAAAAGCCACACCAACATGCTTGTGTAGTCATCAAGCGAAGTCATCTCAAGGGAGGCGTTACCTTTTAGTAGCTGGTGAAACAAACTCTTAAATAAAATTCTGTAGATACCACAATAAATCTAGAAAACTAAGTACTCATGGCGAAGTCCAAAAAATTGGATTTAAAAACAAGGATCTCAAGTTCATGGTGGTGCCTCTAAGTACTTGTAATATTTTTGTATTAAATGCTCTTTATTAATTAGCAGCAAAGTTCCAGATTAGTTGTTAAGTCCTCTTCAGCAAAATGGCCACAACCTTGAACTTGCATAAAATGGTTGGTTACTTGAGGGGCCACCCGCTTACCCTACCCAACTTTCTATCGCTCCCTCCCCACCAGGCAGCAACCACTTCTCTGCCTGTGGGCCTGGGACTTGCAACTTCCTGCTGGTTTCCCCACTGACTTTGGTTGTGGGAATCCAGCAGGAAATTGCCTTGCCTAACGACCATGGGATTTGGTTAATGATGGCAACCGAGACTCAGGCAACAACCAATTGCTGTTGTAAGTCAAGGACTATCTGTATGTTCTTTGAAAGCTCAGCTCAAAAATTGCAATTAAACTTGTATTCTTATCACTTATAAGTTTATTGCTATGATGGTATCACTTCTTGATATCTTTGGCTCACTTCAGGCCCATGCTGAAAACTTATTTGCCCTTTTTCTCCCCTTACCCCGTCTCACCTTCCGTGCCATAATTAGCCCTGAGGGTTTATGTTGTACTTTGGTGACCACCCCACCATTACCAGCTCCCAGTTCTGAAATCCTCTCGAAATCATCGTCTTTTAGTTCTCCAACTTTGGCCTTCTGTGTGAGAAAAGCTTCCAATCGCTTCTTCTGCTGCTCATCCAGCTCCAGTTCTTCCAGTTTTTTCTGGAGGTCAACAAGATGAGCTCTAAGAGGAAACAGAGAGAGAGTCATCAGGCTGGCTAAGATCTATGCAATACACCACTGCATACACCAAAGTGGAGCAGCACGGCTATTACTACATTTGCTAGTGAAAGTGAAAGGTTGCCAGAGTGGCCTGCTTGAAAATCACTAGGCTGCCATGATTCCCCAAATTTTTCTACTGAATACTAAGTATTTTCTTAACTCTGCCCCAGGCTGGATTCTAATATTTAGTGTTGGTTACAGGTAATGCCTATTTTCTCAATTTAAACAAGATATTCTCCCGGCCAATTAAACAAAATGTTGATAGAAAATGTTTCATTTTCGGTTACCAAATACAACATTCTGCCAATTGGTTTTATCATTTGATTTTGATTTGCCTTTTTAATGTACATTAGGGTTATTTTCTTTTTTCTTCTGGATGGTTTTAACTTATTATGAGATTGTTAGTTTTCATAATCTCCTTCCCTTAGTTCTAAGTGCCTCAACCTTCATCCCACTGATAGTAGCTTCTTCCAAATCCTCTTTTATTCAAGATGATTTCCTGCCCTTCCTCACTCACACAATAATTTACTAGACAAGCTCCTCAGTTAGCTTTTTTTCTCCCAGCTGCTAACCCATTCACATGTCATTCCACCTCTATACCTTGCTTCCACTCAGCAACATGCTATTTGCAGCTATAATTGGGAATTACAGCTCCCCACACTGCGGCATGTACAAGATTACTGAAGATAGTTTAATTTCACTGAGCCTTAAATTCAGACTAATCATTATTGGGGGAGGGATTATCATCATCATATTCATTTTTGAATTGCTGGAACCTGCACAATGGGTTTTTGACTTGGGTGGGCCGTAAATAAAGTGAGCCTCATACTTCACAGAGATACAATTGACCAAATTAATCTCTTTAATGCAGACAAGAATGAAGTCTTGTACAGAACGTTTGGGTACTGTAGTACACAGACATCAAAGCCCTCTACAGGTAGTCCTTGACTTACAACCATTCATTTAACGACCGTCTGAAGTCACAATGGTGCTGGAAAAAAGCGACTTACGACCAGTCCTCGCACTTACAACTGTTGCAGTTTCCCTATGGTCACATGATCACAATTTGGGCACTTGGCAACCATCATGTATTTATAACAGTCGCAGCATCCCAAGGTCACATGATCACTATTTGTGACCTTCCCAGGGGGCTTCCGACAAACAAAGTCAAGGGGGGAAGCCGGATTCACTTAACAACCATGTGATCTGCTTAATGACTACGGCAAAAAAGTTCATAAAATCGGGTACAGTTCACTTAATGACTGCATTGCTTAGTGACGGAAGTTCCGGTCCAATTGTGGTCGTAAGTCGAAGACTACCTGTATAGGTCTATGTTCCAGGGTCTTAATTCTAGGTTTTTCCTCCCACCTTTCCATGTCAATGGGTATTTGGCTGATCTCCCATTGACCTTGGAAGGTACCTAAGCAATGCTAACACGATGGCTCCCTTTAGCATGGGAACCACTGGGTCAAGCTTTATTGCTTACAGTGAAAGAGAAACTGAAACATATCTTAATAATATTAAACCTCTCCAAGTCTTAGGCTATAAATTATGAGAAGTTTCTCCACTGCAATGCCTACTTTGTGAAATCCTTATTATACCAGCTCACTGCAAGTTTTAAATTTACTGTATCTGCAATTCTATGTATATTTATTCAAAGTAAATCAAGTAGAACTCAGAGATACTTATTTTTAAATAAGAATCCATCGAATTCTGATCTTAAAAACACATTTTTATTCTAGAAGGCAGAGGAGGGTCCATTTGGGTTTGTGTATGTGTTTTTTAAATATTTGCTGTTGTTATTGGCTGTAAATACTGTGGCTTCAGATATTCTGTAAAGGGAAAACATTCCTTAAGAAAAAGAGAAAAACTGAAAAAAACTTTTTTCAAAAAAGAAGGATAGAAAGATGAGAAGATGAACAGTACATTTTGTATCACTCCAGTGGTTCCCAGATTCCACCTCTTAAGTTACATAAATTCCCATTTAAAATATGCCCTGTTTAAAGTATCTAAAGCCATAAGTATTTTATGAAAGACTGGAAACCTTTTATAAACTTTTTCCTAAAAATGGATAAAAGTGACATGTGATTTCTGGGTTTGCTGATTAAAAGGGCTGAATATGGGAAGAAGGAACTATATAATGTAGTTCTAAAGGGGGAGAAATGATAAAAGTTTGTAACTGCTGTAAAGATTGGAAGCTACTTTTTAAATTTTTCTTTTTCTGTTTCTAGCACTTTTTCTTTTATATTTTTCTACTTTTCTTTCATACATTTGTTTTTGTTTATCTTTTAATTATGTAAAAATTTTCAATAAAAATTACAAAGTATCTAAAATCCACCACTTTTTTCCTTGTTCATTATTCCTCCTGTTTTTTTCCCTTTTTTCTGCAGTTCTTATCCCTCTTCCACACACATTTAATTCCCCTCGCATTTTATTCACACACCTCTAGCATGGTCTTTGAACACTACCCTTTCTTTGATCTGAATCCCCACTGCTCATAGCAGTCCTTTTGCCCAGAAAACTGCACAAATATTCTCCATTACAAATATGAAGATGTATGTAATTTCCTGATTCATTTATATAGCTCGAAAGGACACACAATATAGTCAGCCACCCTCCACCAAGCTGTTGGTTTTCTGCAAATCTGCAGCATTTCCACCAATCCACCTCAGTCTCTCTAGATATCACTACTTCTTATTAGATGATCAGTGTGTGGGACAAAGGTCCCAAGTTCAAATCTCTACTCAGCCATGTAGCTTACCACTCATAAAGGTCTCATGCTTTATTACTTCGCATGTTATGGTGGTGAAATGTGAGGCTAAATTCGGATAATACTATGAACAACAAAGAAAAAACATTTTTACCTAGTGTGCTATGCAAATCCAACTAGTGTGGCTTTACGCGTTATGCTTCAGTGTGTCACTGAGTAACTCATGGTTAAATTAATGAGGGATAAGCAGGTTATGCAAATACAGCTTAATTATATGTGAGTGTATGGGTCTGTGTGTGTGACAGAGAGAGAGAACACTAAGTTTTGAGCTCTCTAAGGATAATAGGAATTTCAATAATCAATAAAATACTGAAATTAATGCTCAAACACATATATACTCCAAAATTTTAGCTTAGATGGCATAATAAGATTTTTGGGAAAGTGTCATGTGCACCGTCACAAATTAACTGCCATAGGGGATAGCCAATTCACAAAATGGCTGCAGCTAGTTACAGACTGGGGCGAAAAACAAATAATCTGTGCAAGAATCCGCACATATAGTGGTCCTAGTTACACATTTCCATACTCCCAACTGTTCAAAGTTGTTGTAGGAATAACATTAGAGTGAAAGCCAGGCAAAAAAGAGAATGCCATTAATGCTGCCCTGAACTCCTTGGAAAAGACAGGATAAAACTATGTAATAAATATAATTACAAAATTACTATTCAGTTCTATTACTGGCTTTAAACTATTGCTCATCTTTGAATACCATTTCTCTACTCAATACCCCCAATTAATTTTCTTCCTTATTTCCTCTCCCTGCTACAATATACGTATTCCATTTTTAAATGTTTTATGGCACACACTTTCATACTTTCTGGACCAATACTGATTCTCCCTCTCCATCATTCAACATTCATTTCCAAATTATTAATAGTGCAGAAGCAGATTAATAAATAACCTAAACAACGTATGTTACTACCATATTAATATAGATTATAAGAAAAACCTGGCTGTATCAGGATAAGAGACCACCTAGTCCTACATCCTGTGTTGTTCAGTGGCCAACCAGACACATTCTGGAAGCTAAAAATACAGGGAGGTGACTATCATCTTCCATTGTCACTCCTCAGCAGCTGGTAATTATTCAAGCATGTGAATCAGGATATATTATTCTACTATCAAAATTAGCAGCTACCTACTGATAGTTCTAGATGGTTTTTCTGGTCCCTTTTAAAAATAATCTAAACTGATGGTTATCATTACAAGTAATGGCAATGAAAGCATATTTAACTATATTTAATATAAATATATATATTTAAAAAACCCTTCTGTTATTTCCCCACATGTCGTTTCAGTGAATGTCCTCTCCTTCCAACAGCGAGAAGGCAAAAGGCTTCTGTTTGTCAAATACTTTCTAGAAATTATTAATATAAATACAAAGTGCTACAACCTTTAAATACTGTACTTTAATACCATCCATTCCTTTTGTCCACATTTCCATACAGGATTCATCCTTTATATGGCTAACATCCCTCATCACAACTATGACTTTCCAGGTCATTGACAGCAGTTGTTCTTCACCCCTGTAACTAACAACACCTCAACTTATTTATGAGAACACCCAATTTCAATACAAATAGTTCTAAAAGTGAAAGCCTTTTGAATGCCACTGCCCTGCCAGCCCAAGCTTCTCTTCTATTCTTAGAGATCTCTTCAAGCCTGCAGCCTCATGTACACTTTCTTGGGAGTGTGGCCTATTGGATTAGAAAGTCAACTTCTAACTAAATTTCCAAAATACCCAACGTTCTCCTTCTTCCACCTTCTTCTTCTCCTCCTTCTTCCAGCTGTCTCCCCAATCATTACTTTGCCACTTCGGTCTTCCTCCTATAGCGCATCAGTACTTCATCCATAATAAATAATCTCCCCAATTCTAGTTTGATTTTATAAAAATGCATTTTAAATATTGTTTGAATCCCCCTTTCACATTTTATTTGGGCAAGAATGCTATGGAAGAGGTTTTCACATATAAGGGGATGAAAGAGTAGCATGTCACATAAAATATATCAAAAGAAGATGAAGCCATATTTTAAAACTGTTCATAAGTTGTTCCAGACATCCCTTTGGCCACTGTAGAATAGAGTATTGTTTCTCAATATTCTATTCGACTGGAGTAGTGAAACCAGGACTTATTTCAGCAGAAGTGGACATAATTTTTCCAAGATTATTTTAAGGACAGATATATACCCTTTCACTTCTTTCTGGCACTGCTCCAACATGATAGACTTAACAG